GAACCAGTGGATGGAAGACAACTCTCTCTCTCTGCCTCTATCTGTTTGTAATATTACCTCTCAAATAAATAAATAAATAAATAAATAGAATATTAAAAAATACATATATAAATACATATAAAAGATGTGTATATATATATATATATATATATATCAGTTGGTTTTAATCTTCTATCTGCTGGTTCACTGGCTAGGCCAGGCCGAAGTCAGAAACCAGGAGCTTCTTCCAGATCTCCCACGTGGGTGCAGGGGCCCCAGGACTTGGGCATCTTCCACTGCTTTCCCAGGCAGTATCACCTAGCAGGGAGCAGGATCAACAGTGGAGACTTTGAGCCAGGACTCGAAAGGGCAGCCTTATGGGATGCCAGCACTGCAGGTGGAGGCCTAACCTTCTATGCTACAGTACCTGCCCCTGAGTAATGGGTTTTTAAAAAAGATTTATTTTTACTTTTGAGGCAGAGTTAAGAGAGAGAGTGAGAGAGAGAGAGAGAGAGAGAGATCTTCCGTCAACTGGTTCACCCCTTAGAAGGCTGTAATGGCCAGCGCTGGGCCAGGCTGATGCCAGGAGCTTCATCCGGGTCTCCTGTGTAGGTAGCAGGGGCCCAAAGACTTGGGTCATCTTCTGCTACTTTTCCCAGCAAGTGGAGCAGCCGGGACACAAACTGGCGCCCATGTGGGTTTCTGGCGTTGCAGGCGGAGGCTTTACCTGCAGTGCCACTGTGCCAGCCCCAGAGGAATGGATTTTTACAAGGAGGCCAAGGTGCCTTCACAGGAGGGTGAGAATCCTTTCAGCAAAGCAGTTCCGAAACAACCGAATACTCACGCGCGCTTGACTCCGCTTCCTGCCACTCGCGAAAGTGAGCTCCCGGTGAGTCATGCGCTTCCTGCGGAGACTTGAGTTTTAAAACTGCTAGGAATACAGAGAAGGTGTTTCTGACCTTGGAGCAGGCAGTGATGGTGCAGAGACGATGCTAAGTGTAAAAGAAAATGTAATGAAATGATGGAAGTCTTCCACAGAAGGTGCCCTTGGGGTGGGCTGCAGGTGGGGTAACCCGCGACATGCTTGGGGTCTGCGTTCTGATCGGAGCAGGTGGGGTAACCCGCGACATGCTTGGGGGTCTGCGTTCTGATCGGAGCAGGTGGGGTAACCCGAGACATGCCTGGGGGTCTGCATTCTGATCAGAGCAGGTGGGGCAACCCGCGACATGCCTGGGGGTCTGCGTTCTGATCGGAGCGCCTGGACCCGGGTCCCGACTTTGCTCCCAATTCCAGCTTCCTGCTCATGCATGTCCTGGGAGGTGGCAGTGGTGGCTCAAGCACCTGAGTCCCTGCCACCCACGTGGGAGACCTGGATCGAGGTCCAAGATCCTGGCTTCAGGCTGACCCAGCCTGGCTGCTTGGGCATCTGGGGATCCAACTAGAAGATGAGAGCTTTCTCTCTCTGCTGTTGCTTATATCTGTCTCTCTGCCTTTCAGATAAAATGAACAAATAAATAAAAATTTAAGAGGTGATTAAGAAAAGGGAAAGAATATTATGGTTGGAAGAATATGATATATGTGGCAAACAGCTTGTATTCAGAAAGATTTCTTAGACGTCAATAATAAGACAGCCCAGTTAAGATGGGAAAAATGTGGGCATGCTCTCTACCAAGGAGCTGTAAGAATGGTCAATAAGGAGACACTGCAGTGGCGTAGTGGGTAGAACCGCTGACTACAGTGCCAGCTTCCCATATGGGCACTGGTTCATGTCCCAGATGCTCCACTTCCAATCCAGCTCTCTGCTATGGCCTAGGGAAGCAGTAGAAGATGGCCCAAGTGCTTGGATCCCTGCGCCAGCATGGGAGACTCAGAAGAAGCTCCAGGCTCCTGGCTTTGGATCGGCACAGCTCCGGCTGTTGTGGCCATCTGGGGAGTGAACCAGCAGATGGAAGGAAGACCCTCCCCCCCCTCCCCCGCTCTCTGCCTCTGCCTTTCAAATGAATAAATAAATCTTTAAAAAAATGGTCAATAAGATCATTAAAAGATGCTCAACGTTGTCAGCCATTAGGAAACGCGAATCAAAGCTACAATGAAACACCAGATACGTACTAGAATGGCTGAAATGAAAGCACTACAAACAACAAATATCAATGAGGATGGCAACTAAAACTCTCACACGTCGCTGGTGGACTATAAAATGGTACAGCCATTCTGGAAGACAGCGCAAAAGCTGCTTATCAAGTTACATACAGCCTCAGTATAAAATCCAGAAACTCCACTCCTGGTTATTGGGAAACAATGAGTGTGTGGAACCACGTAAAGATTTGCATGTGAATGTTCAAGCAAGCGTGCACATACTGTCTGGGAACCAGGAACAACACAGATGCCCACCAGTAGGTGGATGGACTCGGAGGCTGGAAAACTGCTCAGCAGTGATGAGCACTTGCTGACATGCACGACTATACGGAGAAATCTCAAAAATTCTGTTATCCAAGAAGGCAGACACCAAAGAACCCCTGCTTGGTAGCTTCATTCATGTGAAGTTTCAGAAAAGGCAAAAGTAACCGATGGACGTGAACCTCACCAGTGCTGCCGCTGGGGAGAGAGGCTGGCTGAGGAAGGGCCTGTTAGAATTTGGGGGAAATGGGCCAGCGCTGCGGCTCACTTGGCTAATCCTCTGCCTGAGGTGCCAGCACCCTGGGTTCTAGTCCCAGTTGGGGCACCGGCTTGTCCTGGTTGCTCCTCTTCCAGTCCAGCTCTCTGCTGTGGCCCAGGAAGGCAGTGGAGGATGGCCCAGGTCCTTGGACTCTGCACCCGTGTGGGTGACCAGAAGGAAGCACCTGGCTCTTGGCTTTGGATTGGTGCAGCATGCTGGCCATGGCGGCCATTTAGGGGGTGAACCAATGGAGGGAAGACCTTCCTCTCTGTCTCTCTCTCTCTCTCACTGTCTAACTCTGCCTGTCAAAAAAAAAAAGAAGTTGGGGGAAATGAAATCCACTGATTGGCGCAGTGTTCACCCAGTTGTGTGTATTTGTCAAGACTCGTTGAGCTGTAATCCACGTAGGTGCATTTTACAGTATATAAATTACATCAAAAAGTTGTTTAAAATTAAAGAAAAACAACCCCAATACCCCAATATGCCAGTGTGGGCCCTTCAAGGTGGCAGGCCTCTGTTCCAGCAAATTCCCCTCATTCCCAGAGCACGTCTTCTCTTTCTGCCACAGAATACTGCTGGTGCATCTGCACTTCCCCTCTCCATCCCCTGGAACCCTGCAGTTCTCTGGGGCTCTTGCTCTCAGTAGACAATGGTACTTGGAAACCAAGATACGGGTGCCATTATTCGCCAGTCCTCTTGGCAGACAGAGCCAGGGAATAGATGTATGCGGGCACACACACACACACACACACGTTCACGTCTGTAGTCCTATCTGCCAGTCCATATTGAAAACCGTGAGTCCACATCAGCACTCCCACTCCCGGTGCAATGTCTTTCATGCCAGGCTCACCCTGGGCTCTTCCTGAGGGTCCCACGTGATAGGTGGGTCGGTTGCTTTGTCTCTCTGCACCATTGGCTGTTACAAGAGTCACCCTCTGGTCAGAGGCACCCCACCTCGCTGTACCCTGTTCTGTCCTGACATGGCTTCTGTTGAGGTTATGGCTGTTTGTTTTCGAATCACATTTCAAATCCTGGCTCACTTGGGAAGAAAGCGCATCCATGGGAAGGGCCGGGGTAGCTCACAGAGTCCAAAGGAAAACTGAAGAATCCAAATGGGGGGCAGCAAGGAACCAGAGAAGCTTCAGGGGTCTAAAGACAGAACCCAATAGCCTTCCCATCAGTCCACCGCAGTGGGATGGAGCAACGCGCCCTGTGCCTGGCCACGTCCCCCCTGGACAGGCACCCCCCGCTGAGCACCCCTGATTCTCTCTGGATGGGGCCAAGGTACCCTGGGGATTACCCCCCGATACTGTGCCATGATGGATGCTCGGTGGGCAACAGCAGATGCCCGATTCTCCTGCTCTGCCTGGCTCCTGGAGGCTCTGCCTGGCTCCTGGCATTGCCGGCTTAGCCCCGTTCCTGGTCTTGTTTCAAGTGCCCTTTCTTGGGAAGACCTTTCTCAATCACCCGACCCAAGGCCGGCCCTCTTCAAGCTTCCGCTTCCGTAGAGCTCTGTGTGTCTCCTCTGAGCTAATGAGCACCTCCACCTGTCTCGTGGCTCTCTGTCTCTGTCGCAAGACAGTCTCTGTCTGTCTGTCTGTCTGTCTCATTGCCTCCATAGCCCCAGTGCCCCGGCACCATGGCTGGCGCTGAGCAGATGCTAAGTGGGTATTGTTTGAGGACCAAGTGGATAGGTGAGCTCAGGGCTGTATCCCTTAGCCGCAGCAGATTGGGAACCCCCCAAGCCCCCATTCCTGGCTGCCTATGGATGCCCACCCCCGAGAGGACACAGACAAGCGAGCAAACACGGAGCACCAAGCAAACCCTGTCTCTCCAGGAAGAGCCGTGTGCCATCCCCAAACACGCGGCAGGCTGGCCAGCCGAAAGGGTTAAACTAAAGAAAACAGCTGAGGAGGGCTAGGAGGAGCGGGGAAGCCAGTTAAACTAGTTTCTGCAAAGGGTTTTTGTGTTTTGTGTGTGTGTGTGTGTGTTTTTGTAGTGTGAGCGTCCTGGAAAGAAAGCAGAGGAACCCACAAAAGACCGAAATCCCGGTATCTCCTGTGTTGTCACCCAGTCTGCGGCCACTGCCACTCCTTCTTTACACCGCGGCGGATAATAAGCCCCCTTCCCGGGCATCGAAATGCTCTTATACATTTTAATGTGACCTTAGACAGCACTTTTCAGAAATCGCAGGCCCATCTGACTACACTTGAGCTTGAATTGAGCTAATGGTATTCACCTCATCTTTAGATGCAGAATTGGAAGATAAAAAGACCTTGATGTGGAAAGAGGGGAGGGTGGAGAGAGTGGGGGTGGGAGGGTTGTGGAGGGGGGGCGATTAGAGTCACCGCTTAAAAATCTTGTGATTGCGCCCCGATAACGAAATGTCTCCCTTCCTAAAATCCCCCACAGACTCCAGCGACGTCCTTCTGCCTTTATTTTGAACGACATAATCTTTTTATTCCTGGACCAGGGATATTTGCATGCTCCTGCCTATGTGGGCAGGAGAGACACTGACCTTTGACAAACCTTTGTTTTGTTTTGTTTTTTAAGATCAGATGGAACAGCTATTGCAGTATTCCAGCCCTGTAAGATGGAGAGAGAGAGAGAGAGAGGGAGGGAGAGAGAGAGATTCCATCGTCTGTAATCAGACACGGTGTGGCCCTTCTAACCCACTGACAACCTTCTGAATCCTGCGAGCTGGTTGGAGGCGTGGCGTCCTCCTGCTTTCCTCTTGAGAGCACAGAGAAAATTCGGGACTGGGAGAAAGCGTGCTTCCTGTCTGTTGCTCTTTGGCGAGAGCTTGGATTCCATGCGTTGAGTCAAAAGCACCAAGGGCCCCAGGGAGGCGGGAAGAGGCGAGAGGCGGAGGGAGGGAGGGAGCGAGGGCACAGGGTGTGGTCAGGTCGGCCTCCCAGGAGGCAGTCTGGGCAGGAGCCCCTGTGTGTCCCCCGAGACAGGCTCCCTTCCCGTTCCGACCTGCCCGCTGTCTGTCAGGGCCCGGGGAATGAGCCCCACCAGGGCTGAGTGCCCCCAGGACGCGGGGCCGGCTGGCAATCCATCACTGGCAGAGCACACCTGGTCTGCCCAAAGGAGACAGCAGGTAGGGAGGGGCGGGTGGGAGGGGAGAGTGGGACCCCGGGGTGACTTGTAGGACTGGATCAGAGGTGCTCAGACAGGACCTCGGCCCCCAGGCGTCCCCATCCAGAGGGGAGTACATAATTTATCATCACAGAAAGGGTGACAGATTGGGATGGTCTGGCCTTTTGACTTCACAGCTTTTCTCTGCATTCAGACAATTGGAGCTTGGGCCTGCAGGGCCATAGTGTTCTGTCTTCTGTGCTGGGTGTGCTGACTCAGGTACAGGTGGTGCACGGGACTCGTGTGTGTGTGTGTGTGTGTGTGTGTGTGGCTTTTTATTTTTATTTTTTTTAACGTTGGGGATAGGAAGACCTCCCACTCGTTGATGGCAATCGTCAAGCTGCTTTGGGGAAGTGCTTGCTGTCCGTCCGTGTGTCTTCAGACAGGCCGCACCTGGTTTGAAGGTGATTTCCGGTTCCCATGGAGATTCAAGGTGACAGGCCAGGGTCACCATGTCACTCGGCGTAATCACCCCCTTAGCATGAGGACTTCTGGGAGCTCAAAGTGCACCTGCCTTGGGGCCCTACTGTTTCGTTCGTCATGGAACAGAGGAAACAGAAGATGAGTTTGTTTGGATGCGTTGTTTGAAATCCACGGGTAGTTTTTCGTCACATGCGTTTCCTATGAGCTTTTGGAACTCCCCTCGTATGTGTGGAAGAAACTTTAGCTTTCCTTTAGCTTGGAATTCCCGCATTCCTAAGGAAACGGATGTGCGGAATGAACGGTGGATGAGTGAGCTGCAAGCTGAGTTGTGAAGGGGCTGAGTGGTGGAAATGAAAGAAGGAAGACCTCAGGGGGGTGGGCCTGGACTGGGCGGGGGTCCTGGTTTCCCCGCAAGAGCTCAGGGAGGCACCGGGCAGGTGGTCCTCGCTGACCCTTCCTCCTGGGGAGGGGACGGAGTCTTGGGGGCTCAAGCTCAAGGTCGGGTCTGCCTGGCTCCAAGTTGCGTGCTTGCTGCTCTGTTCCAGAATGTTCCACTGTCCCCCTTTGCGTCCTTGTCCTCAGGGCTTGGCCCCGGTGGAAGGACGGGCTGGCTCGCTGCCTGAACAGCACACCTGTAGAGCGCACCGCCCGGCAGAGCTGGGAATCTTTCCCACACGCGAGGTTCCCACCCCTGCCCTCCAGGGCCTGAGAACTTTGTTTCCATTGCGTGCCCAGAGCCCACGGGGGAGCTGGCACTGCTCCCCCAGCCTTGTCCTGACCAGTCCTCAAAAATGCAGTCTTGGAGTGTGCAGGCTAGGGAGGGGCACTTGGTCAATTCTGGTGCTGGAGCCACCGTGCCTGCCAGGGGCCTCCGAGACACTGGCTGGGCTCCACTGGACCTGGCAGCGCCCTGCCGAGGCGGCGGTGGGATGGGGTGCGGGGTGTGGCCCCTGTTTGCTGGTCACCTGCAGGGGCTGACGTCTCCCCCCAAACCCCCCCAATCTAAAAATGTCCCAAGACTCGGAAGGACTCAGGTCCCAAGAAGAACCCTCAATCCGCCTCGCACTGCGGCTGCTTCCAAGTTACACGGTTTCCTTGCGGAAGAAGTGGGCGTGCACACTGGGCTGCGAGCACTTGGGCATGCCCTGTCCCTCTCGGGGCCTCGTTCGCTCCTCTCTGATGAGGGTGCTGGCCAGGCCTGTGTGCAGAGTCTCGTTGGTGGCTGTGTGTGTGTGTGTGTGTGTGTGTGTGTGTGTGTGTGTGAGATTTACTGGGAGCCACTCATTTGCCACGCAATGGACAGGTGTGGCTGGCTGCTGCGCACCGTGGGCCAGGACTTCTTACTGGACCCTCACAGCGTCAGATCTGGGACACACTGGGTGTGGCGTCTTAGCGCTCTCGGGAGAGCTGTCACTTGCAGGATGTAGGGGACTTAACGCCTTGTGTGGGTGGGTGGGTGCCAGGTAGGGTGTGCTCAGCCAGGAGCTCTTCGCGTAGCCTGGGAGGATTTGACTGTCAGGTGCACACACACTGGGCAAGCCGCTTCCAACACAGGCCCCACTGAAGGCGGGCTCGCCTTGTTTTGCCATAAATATTTGGAGCAGAAATTGTCTTTGAAGATAAAGGGCCGGGCTGCAGGCAAAGCCTGCTCTGACCACGTGGCCTGGGGTGGGGAATGTGGAAGGGGGGGAGGTGAGGGGCAAGTGACGTGAGGCTGGGGGTGGTGGTGGAGGAAGGCTGGATTTAGGGGGCTGCGGGGACGCCAGGGAACAGGGAAGGAGACTGGATCTGAGAGCTCCCTGGGGTGGAAATGACCATTTGGGGAAAAGTGCGGGCTCTGGAGGACTGGCCGGACCCCTGCAGTGCCATCTGCTAGCTGTGACCTGGCACAAGTCCGTCACCCTCTCTGAGCCTTCTTCTTCCCCAAGATTAAATGAGAACATAGTAGGCCTCCCTACGGTGAGGTCAGGCTTAACCAAGCTAAGCTGTAAAGCAACTGATGTCTCCACACACCTTTTAAAAATTTGTATTTAGTCTTTGAGAGGTAGAGAGAGAGAGAGAGAGATCCATCCGTCTTCCATCTACTGGTTCATTCTTCAAATGCCTGCAATAGCTAGGGCTGGACCAGGCCAAGCTGGGAGCTGGGAAGGCCATCTGGGTCTCCCAGGTGGGCGGCAGGAGCCCAAGGACTTGAGCCATCACCGCTGGCTCCCAGGCCGTGCACAGCAGGATCTGGGACTCAGGCCCAGGCGCCCAGATGGGGATGCGGGTGCTGCACGTGGTGTCCTTTTTTTTTTTTTTTAATTTGACAGGTAGAGTTATAGACAGCGAGAGAGGGAGACAGAGAGAAAGGTCTTCCCTCTGTTGGTTCACTCCCCAAATGGCCGCCACAGCCGGTGCTGCGCCAATCTGAAGCCAGGAGCCAGGTGCCTCCTCCCGGCCTCCCACGCAGGTGCAGGGGCCCCAGCACCTGGGCCGTCCTCCACTGCCTTCCTGGGCCACAGCAGAGAGCTGGGCTGGAAGAGGAGCAACCGGGATTAGAACCGGTGCCCCTATGGGATGTTGGTGCCGCAGGCGGAGGATTAACCAAGTGAGCCACGGTACCGGCCCTACGTAGTGTCTTAACCACTGTGCCAAGTGCTTGTCCCTGTGTTGTTTTTAAAAACAGCGCTACTGAGAGGCGACCCACAAACCGCACGTTTCATCTGCGTGATAGTTTCTGATTCAGGGCCTTTTGTGGGTGTGGAGGCCTCACCACCCTCAGTTCCAGAACGTTCATCACCTGTGAAAGAAGCCTGGAGTGACCCCTCCCCTCGCCAGTCCCTGGAGCCCCGAATGGCTGCTCCGGGTCTTTCTCGACTTTCCGTACGAGTGGAGGCACAGCGCTGTGGGTTCTTTCTGGACTTTCCGTACGAGTGGAACCACAGCGCTGTGGGTTCTGGGCCTGGTCTTTCTGTATGAGCAGAACCACAGCGTGTGGGTTCTGGGCCTGGTCTTTCTGTACGAGCAGAACCACAGCGTGTGGGTTCTGGGCCTGGACTTTCCATACGAGCGGAACCACAGAGTGTGGGTTCTGGGCCTGGCCTTTCTGTACGAGCGGAGCCACAGTGCTGTGGGTTCTTTCTGGACTTTCCGTACGAGCGGAACCACAGTGCTGTGGGTTCTGGGCCTGGTCTTTCCGTACGAGTAGGACCACAGTGCTGTGGGTTCTGGGCCTGGTCTTTCTGTACGAGTGGGACCACAGCGCATGGGTTCTGGGCCTGGACTTTCCATACGAGCGGAACCACAGCGCTGTGGGTTCTGGGCCTGGTCTTTCTGTTCGAGCAGAATCACAGCGCTGTGGGTTCTGGGCCTGGCCTTTCTGTACAAGTGGGACCACAGCGCATGGGTTCTGGGCCTGGTCTTTTTCACCAAGCGTGGCATTTCCTGCTTGTGTCCCCAGGGCAGCACACGGCCGCCTTTCATTCCTTTTTACGGCTGAATAGTATTCTGCGGGCTGGACACAGCTCATCCCGTTTATGCGTCCCAGTGACGCTGATGGGGACATTTGTGTGTGGGTGACTTTGGTGGGCGTGTGGTGAACGGCGGAGTCGCCGGGTCGCCGTTCCCACTGCAGAGCTGTCCAAGGAGGTGCCAGCCGTTTCCCCAAGCGGCTGCACCCCGGGGTGCACCTGCTGGATCTGCAGCGTTGGAACACCCCAAGCACAGCCCACAGAGCTCCCCCAAGCCCACAGCATCCTGCTCTGCCTTGCTCTCCCCCAGCGGGGGCCCAGCGGGAGCCTCCCCGCCTTGGTGTGGGACCCTGGTGGCTCACCTCCTTCCGCTCACCCCTCTCCCGCACTGAGCCCCTCCCTCCACTGCCAGCCTTGCCTCACCTGTCTGTGCCCCTGCCAAACCCCCCACCATGACTCCTACACATCTGTGGGCTGGGGAGTCTCCCTTGCTGTACCAGCACAGGGGCTTGGGGGCCGGGGGTGGCAGGGAGGCCTGTCTGGTGGGGTCCCTACTTTAGCACACCCTGGCTGGTTGGGCAGGACACACAGCCTCCAGTGGGGTGGAAATTGGACCAACTGGCTTTCTGGTCGACCTTTTCCCTCTCACCTGTTCCAGGGGCCTCCAAATTCCTGCAGCTTCTCCTAAGGCCTCTCTGTCCTAGGCAGCTGCCACGTCGCCCTCCCCACCCACCTCTGTTCCAGCCAGGGCGCAGAATCACGCACATCACGGACAGGGGAGAGAGAGCAAGGTGCTGACCTGTCGCTCCCCGTCTTCGTGGAGGAACGACACAGGACCCTGCGTTGTTCTTTCGTCTGCTCAGCCCTTCCCGGGTTTGCTGCTGGTTCTTCCCGGGTTGGCTACCGACCCTTCCACCTCCGTGGAAGGGCGGTTCCCCCTGCCACCTTCCCCACTTCCGCGGGGGAGCGGCACACCGCCGGCCGGCTCTCTCGGGGGCTGCACAGGTGTTCCTTCAGGTGTTCCCCTTAGATGTTCCTGGTGCATGTTGTCTCTCTCCTCCTTTATAGTCCTCTTCCACCAATCCTA